TTTGGCGTCCCTTAATGCTGACATACACAGCCGGAACATTCCTCTATTCTAGCAGAATTAATGTAACATCTTCATCATTCTTGATAATTGAGCGTGATAGCTCTTCGGGTGTACTGATCAATGCATGTAACTCAATCTCGTCCATTTCTGAGTTTACCCCAACAACTTCTTCAACCAGCTTCTTCAAGCCCTCAAATGACAAATCACTCCTAACCTCCCGTACTCGTGAGTCACCAACCTTGTAAATGTCATCCACCCACTGACCACCATGTCTTATCACAAGTCGCACAATTGGAACCCCACTGCAGTTTTGAAAACATCAAATTTGTCAATCATTTTATGCATTACATATCATGTTGTTACACGCCATGCTCAAAAATGTTACACACCATCTGCTTTATGGATGCATGGCGTGTAACAAATCTGGCAGTGTTTGAAATCCATGTTCTAATTTACACAAGTTTCAAAAATTTATCTGTTGTAGCAATAAACCCAATAACATACCTTGATGTCATCTCTATTATAGGGTCTGTTTATCGACGACAATATGACCAAATGCTAAGAGATAGACCACAGCACGACGACGATGGTGCTCAACAGAGAGTTAACAGAGCTTATACAGTTCAAAGAGTTGAGCGACCTGATGACAATGATGCTTAATAAAGAGTTAACAGAGTTGATATAGTTCACAGAGCTGAGAGAGAAAGATGAGCGATCTCAAACAATTTAGCTTTTATTTTTATTTTCTCTTTGACAGGAGGGGGATATTGAGAACTTTTTTTCATGATGTTTTTAAAGGTATTTGGGTCTACTCATGCTTCTCAATGGTTAAAAACAAATAAGTTTATGTGAAGCATTATTTTTAAAATTATCTTATACAGAGGACCTTTTCTCACAATTTTCTCATTTTATTACTTTAGAAGAGTCGCATAATGTATATAAAAAGAAAAATAAAACCACCTACACCTACTTGCATAGGTAATAGAACTCCAATTCTCCAAACTCGATCGTATTCACAAGAAGTCCTAACAAGTCCTCGTAAAAAGTGATTAACAATTTCTCGGTAAAGACAAAGTCGACTGTTGGGTGAGTCAAAAGTTTTTCCGACAAAGAAGATATTGTATTATTATTAATAATTGCTAAAGGTTGAATTGGCGAAGAGCATGGGCATGGCTACACGCGATGGAACCAGGGTCCTGATGTCCAATTTCTCAACTTCAACTGAGACTGTGTCACTTGAGACTCGCAAGGGCAGGGGCCTTTTGACTGATACAGCCATCCAAATGGCAGTACTTTACTGGTTTAGATCGAAGCATTATTGAGGGCAAGGGCAAGGTCAAGGTCAAGGTCCTCCACATTAGTCCAGTTTACGTTTCATTCACGGTCCTAATGTCTAAATTGACATGCCCGGCTATCTCTTCGCAGGAGCTTTCTGACAAGGAATCTTCCACGTCCCACGCGGTTTTTCTATTTGTTTGCCTTAAAAAAGTATGCGCCTTTCTCTTCTCTCTGATTTTTCGTTGATGATAAACACCCACACATTTCTTGCTCAAGAAGAGTCAACAATGCCCCATTTGTTTCATGCTACAATTAATTCGTGGTTAAGGAAATAGACTTGAAAGCTGTTGGACTCGGCGGTGCAGTTTCGAGCCCTAACGCTGTTTTTATTTTGCAAACAAAATCATCGATCAAGGCCTATTTTGATGATTCGTGGTCACCAATATTTTTTCTGTATTTTATTTTTTTTTAATTTACTTTGTTTCTGCCCCTCCTTCCCTCAATAGACTCGCTCAAATTTCATCTATTATATATGGATTCATGAAACAGGCAAACACCAGCAACAGTTGTCTAAGCTACATTTGACAAAGAGTGGCCAATTCCCCACGGCCGATGATGTGTGGTATTAGTTGAAGGGGGCATATCAAATGGTATGGATGGGACCATCTTTGGAGATTGGACCAGACCAAACTGACAGGCCCGCCCAAAACCGTTACCGACCTTGTACTTGGGGGTTGGGATAGTATAGGCCTATTGGGCTTTAAAGATCTCTGTCCTATCAGCCGCACCTGCAGGATGTTTGCCTCTGGAAAACGGAGAGGAGATCCATGTGGGGTGGTGCTGAGTCTGCCATCATTTTCAGATCTGAGTTTTTGTGTAAGGCAAACAGGACTGTTGGACTGCTCTTCGCATCTTACATTTCCTACCTTTCCAAACAAAAGGGGCAATCACTTTTTCTTTTTACAAAATGCTGAAAAAGCTCTTTAAATTATTTTTAAAAAATTTAAATAAAAATTATTTTTTATTATTTTTATTTAAATTTTTATATTTTATTTTAAATTAAATAAATTTTTATAATTAATGACTAATTAATTATCATTAGTCAAAATATCACTTATTATTTTATATTCACATGATATTGATATAATATTAATATACATGATGAAAAATGACACATGATTATGTTATCATACCACATTAGTATATTATACCATCATTAATTATGATATGTTAACATATTACATCATCATCAATTATGACACGTTAAAATGATACATAAACACCAAATGGCATGGACTTACAAATGACATTTGATTAAGTTAATCATAGTAATAAGAATTTATTTGATTTAAAATAAAATTTTAAAAATTTATTTAATTTAAAATAAAAAAATAAGAATTTTATTAAAAGTAATAAAAATATAAATATTTTTTAAAATAGTGTAAGAATTTTTTAAAATATTATGCTTACGTTCTTTTAAGACCTAGAATAATTATTTAAAGAATAACAAGCTAATAACTTTTCTTATTCTGTACACACACATATATATATATATATATATATTGTAGTGTAGAAAGAAGAGAGAATGAGAAACCAATTATTTATTAATAGTTTTGAAAAATGAGAAATTCAAAATACAGTTTTTTAGCAGAGAATACGTTATACATGTATTCACCACCGTTAAGTACAATATTTATATAAATTTTTTTAAAAAGGTCAAATATGTAAATTATTGAAATTTAGAGAATTCAAGCACAAATTGTTAAATAAATGAGATATATTATACATGTAATTCATTATTGAACCAAATATATTTATATTTAGGATTTGAACCAAATATTTAGATGAAGAAACTGATTTGCTATTAAAGATTTTTTTTTTTGTAATTTCAATTTGAAATATAATATAGGCTTAAATTAAAAGATGAGATACATGAGATAAATGGATTTGGATGAATTAATCCATATTTTTCTAATCTCACGTGGATTTGGAATTATATTCTGTTTTTTGTGATGAGGAAATTTAACAAAAAAACACTCGGATCACATTAAATGTTATAAATATCGCATCAACTGTCTTAATTGGTGATTTTAAGCTCGGTTAATGTAATTGATTTTACTGTCCAAAGAGTGTCAAGTCCAACAGTGATCTCAGCGCGTGGGACCAAAACAGTAAAATCTTATCCTCTATCAACAACGATGATTAATCTGAAGCTGAAAATAACGAAAAAATCGCCGAAATTGCGGGTCCCTACCCTACACGTCAGGGATACCAAGATCAAGGTGAAACCACGTGGCTAAGTCTGAACTTCCAACCGGATTAAGACAGGAAAGCGAATCGAAATCTCTACTCCGAACGGACGCCACGTGTCCGACACGTCACCGTCGATTAAAAAGACTTAAAAAATACTAGTAGTAATAAAAATATCTTCAACTAACCGAGGAAACAGAGCCAAAGCCCGAAGCGGAAGGGGCTGCTGGGATTTGCCATATATAAGCCACAGAAGCCATTGTCCCCTTTGGTTCCAACACCTGGCAGTACGTTGCGCCACACCCGTTGTCTTTTTAGTCCTCTCCACACAAACCCTAGACCGCCCACTATACTTTCTGAAATAACAAGTTTGCCCTTTCTTTCCCATTTTTTAATATTCATTCTCATAACAATATTCGGCATTTCAAAACAAATCTATTTCTTTTATCATCTTCCTAGTGTCAATTAAGGAAATAACAGTCATTTTCTTTTATAAGCACTGTATCATCATGCGAGTGGTGGTGCTTTGGTTTGTTAACAGCTGATATGAGAGGATTCTAGGGGCAATTTCGTAATTTCATACAAAAAGCACGGCTGTACCTATAAGTCACTGCAAGTTGCGCCTCTCTCTTCTCGTTCTTCTCAGTCGCCATCCTCTGCACACACAAGAAAGAAAAAATTCTCCATAAAATAAGAAAGAGAAAAAAATTCTCCGGGAAAACGAAAGAAGAAGGATCTCGCGGATAGGTTAATCCAAAACACCTCTCTCTCTTTTTTTGGTTGAAAACGGAAGGAAATGAAGAGCTGTGAGCTCTGCAAGTTGGCGGCCAGAACGTATTGTGAATCGGACCAGGCGAGCCTTTGCTGGAACTGCGACGCTAAAGTTCACGGAGCCAACTTCCTCGTGGCGAGACACGTGAGGTGTCTTCTCTGTCACACGTGCCAGTCTGTCACTCCGTGGAGAGCCGCTGGTGCCAAGCTTGGTCACACGGTCTCCGTCTGCGAGAGGTGCGTCAACGGCGGTGATCGAGAAGAGAGCGAAGCAGAAAATGACGACGAAGACCACGATGACGATGATGATGATGAAGAAGAAGAAGAAGTTGATTCTGACGATGACGTGACAGTTGATGATGATGTGGAGGAGGACGGAGATAATCAGGTGGTGCCGTGGTCCACAGTAGCAATTACGCCTCCACCGACATCCAGTTCATCTAGTAGCGATGATTCTTCTGGTGGTGAAAGAGAGGTCTCTGAATCAACAAATTTGTTTTCGTTGAAAAGATTGAGAGAAAATGCTTCAGATCTTCGCTCTCAGGTTGGTTTTTTTTCTTATGATCTCTTGTCAATTCTTGTTTTCTCTTTGTTTTTCACTTTAAATTCTTTTTACATTTCTTCATTCTCGTTTGGATTATATCATCTTTTTTATGAAATTAAATTGTTTGTCATTGATGTTTGCAGGATGATCCGGATCCTTCACCTTCTAAACGAAAGTACGGTTATCGTACTGTTTGGGCGACTCGGTGCAGACCAGATGACGACGCCGTTTCTGTTGACTCTGTGAGGCTGTTGAAAAACCAACCGATCCAACCGGAAGGTCCGCTTCAGTTTCAGGCCGATTCGAGTCCGAGAGGCGCAGCGAGTACGGAGTCTTTAGGAAAATTAGAGCCTGATAAAATCCAGTGAAAATGCCGAATATGTTTGTGATTATAATCCCCTAGGCGAAGTGTAGCCGTCCGATTTGAGTTCGTTTCCTCTGGTATTTCTGATGATCTAACCTATTCTAACAATTGTCTTTGATTAATCTTTGACGGAATGTTGACCGTGTAGTTAATTTACGCTAGTGCTACTGCTAGTTTGATCTCTTCTACGATTTTATAACTCTGAATTTTTAAACGATAAGCTGTGGATTATCATCTTGGAGCGACGTCGTTGTACACGAATTATTCATTTTGTAATTAGTAGGGCTTATTGGACATTTCCTTGTTGTAAACGAAAAGGATGGTAAAAATGTGAAGACTGGGTGGCGGTGCTCCAAGGCAGCAGCCTTAAGGATATGTGTACAGAGTGTGAAATCTAAAAAGCAAGTGGTGGTGCAGAGAAAGTGAGTGTGTCCCTTAAATCTTTGAACGACGTCCACTCGTAGAAGGGCTACCCAACGTTTTCATCAGTCCTATGGATGTCAGGGTTTGCCAGGGAAATGCCATGGACAGTCTCAAGGCACGTATGCCTATGAGTAAAGGCCTTCTTCATACCTGATATATGATATTATCCCCTGGAGGGGGACCGCTGCCCCCTGTCCCTCTGTCAAGGTTGTATGTGGCTGCCCCTTGAAATTGGAAAATTCTGAATATAGCTAGGTAGCTAGCTAGCTAGCCTCCTGCGTGTGAAGCACTTCCAGCCTCACATCCCCAAGAATGATTAACCCAGAGAGAAAGCCGTAACCCTGGTGGTGTACGTACTTGTATATTTGCCTAAAATGCTCATTACATGTTCCCGCACGTCTTTTGTTGGAGTGTTCTCATTGAGCAGGATGAACAGGTGTGTGTCAGTCTATGAGAGAACTTTGGGGATGGTGGTTGCAACCAGAGGAGAGTTGTTTTATATGGGATGTAGCTTTGTTTCTGGGGTATTCTCTTTTTCAATTTCTTGGTTTTCTTGTTGGGATGTGGTTTTGTTGAAGTCACTTTATTTAACATCGCGTTGGGAAGATATTTTGTTTTTTTTAAAATAATTTCTAGGCAAATATCTGGGAGCTTATGACCTCTCACCACCACCAGGAATTTAATGCACTAAACAAAGGATTTCTATCTTTCTTTCACGTACAGAGTATGGGTGGCTATCACATTAGGTGGGGGAAGCTCTTAAGGGTAAAGATGGCTATTTAAAAATGATTAATGTATATTTTTAAAATTATTTTATATTTTATATTTTAATAATTTTAAATTAAAATAAAAATTGTGTTAATTTATAATTTAAGCAGTGAATATATATATATATATTTTACTTTTTAACAGAGAGAATCTCTTCCCCCACTCTAATCAGGTAGGAATGCTACTTTATTTAAATTAGAAACAAACTCCGTAATATCCATTAAAATATTAATCACAATCAACCCACGTAAAATATGGTCAAAAATTGGTTATCCTCAAACAGAAATTGTGGTTGAAGGAGCCTCTTAGCTCTAATCAACCAATTAGATCAGCAAGACATTTCTAATCAAGCTAGGCGGGTGTGATTAAAGATTAAAGAATCACTTGGATGAAAAGAAAAGCATCAAGTGGGCTTGGGTATTTGTGGTGGAGATTTGTTTGAAGGGGGTTGAAGGTGTGGCAGTGGTTGCGTGCCGCTTGAAAATCTTCCCAACGACCGTCGAGATATTATGGGGTCTTTGATTGATCTAAGGATGCTGCTGACCATGACCTCACCATCTTAGACAATGACTGACGAATATATATATATATATATATATATATATATTTGTTTCAGGCTGACTACCCTTGAATGAGGGAGGAGGTTCCTCTCGTATATAACGTTTCGATTAGACCATTCACTTGTGGTGTGGGTGAGGCCGAGGGCAGCTGTGAATAAATAAATATTCTAATCAGCTGTTCAACATCAATTCCAACAAAATTAGATTGAAGCAAGCAAGTAATCATCCCGCCACAACTCACCATCTTCACTGTCTGTGGGCAGGGTGTCCGGTTTCTCTGTTTTTCCAATTTCTTTCTTACCCTCTACTTTAGAATATCTACATATCCTTCTTTTGCAAAAACTGACAATAACAAATACAGTAAAGAATTAATTAGACCTGGTGGGGGACTAAATTCTATCTGTTGGTCAACTAAGTTTAGCGCCTTCTCTCTTACGGAGGAGGAGATAGATGGTTTATTATAATAGGATACGTTTTATTAACATTTACTGTAGTTTCTTATGGATAATTACTATTGTCACAAGAGGTTGGATCCCTAATCAAAAAGGGTGGCCTTTATTACCAGCGTTAAAGAATTGTAAACATCGACGGTACACCTGCCTTTTTGGCGGCCATGCACCATCGGTTCTTTAAAAAATGAGGTTTATCCGCCACAATTGTTTTATGAATCCAAATTTGGCAAGAGGCCCCCTTGATTAAACAATCTACTATACTTGGAACGTTGAATGCACCTGTGGGAGAGAAATTAGTTTCCTGGAGTGCATCAATAATGTCCCACTCTTGGCAGCTAGCCACGTTCAGCCAAGATGCCATCAAGTCTTACCTCTTTGTTCAAATGATACCAGTGCTCTCCTCAAATACCTCAATGCCCTGCCTCCTTACGCTTTGCTAAAATCTATATGCCTTTTCTTCTTAGGTTGTCCCCTCTTCATCTACTTGATAAACTTGCTTGGCCTACTTTATTTGGCCACCTACTGCAAAAATGACACCCACGTTCTCAACAAAACTACCAACATCCGGATGCAATGTGATAACAAGAAGTAAGCAACCACCAAAATGCACATCCGTAAATCAGGATCCAACCACCATGACAATGGCGTTTATTTTGCACCTATTATTTGTTATTTTCTTCAGGCCATTTATAAACACAGCAGCAGCTAAAACAAAAATTATGGTCTCTATACCAATCATCAAGCTGCCGCAACCGCAGATGTTTCCACAACACAAGCGGGGAAGCTGAGGTAAAGTGACTCATGGCCCTAAACAGGCTGTTCAACCAGAATTTATCTGGAACCAATTCTACACCGCACATTGTAAAATTACATCCAAAAGGGGGATTTAACAATCTAGAAACATAATTTTGTTGAAGAACCTCAAAGCAACCTACTTAAGTGGTGAAATAACCTTCCAAGATCCAGGATCCAAGATCAAAATTATGTGAGAATCATAGGATCCACAACAGTTTACGAAATATTGACTGGTTCACCACACAATTTCTCCAACTCGCTTTCCAAGAGTTTCAATAAATTTGCTTTAGTTCGTCGATAAACCCACGCTTGAGCATTAAAATCCCAATCAAATCTGGATGGACCACTGCAAAGAAAACATTACCTTTAAGAAAGAAAATGATAATTTGTGAAAATGCTATCATGAAAACCGACAAAAACTTGGCATCATTTATGCTTCAAGAAACAAAATGGTCACAACAGGAATTGGGTGAAAAACACACAAGCAGCTTTACTATTAAGTGTTGTTAGTTAAACATTGTTGTCAGCTGCAGTCCAAAACACGAAATCATATGCATATAAAACAATAATCCTCCGCATCTAAGTGATCCCACTAAATACTGAAAAGTCAATCTTTGTAGAAAAGAATTAGACACAGGGTTCCAAGCAGTTGGAATTTAGCTATGTAAGTTTAATAGAAGAGGAAATGCTGATGATGGTAACACATTTTTCTTTTTCTTCAAATAGGTGGAACTTGATTCCCTAGCATTCGTACCCAAATTTTTTATTTAGAGAAACGATGGATGCGTGAAGGTTCAATCTTTTTCCTGCCTTGTAGCCACTAAAAAGGGCAGAAGAGAAGAAAGGAAACAGCAACTGAAGTTGTAAAGTAAGTTGTTGACATTACAAAATGCAAAGATCATACCATGATGCCAACATTTAACCAATCGATCTTTTACAGACTAAGAGCAGTATAGCTTCAAATTCACAATGACATGTTATTTTTAGGATATTTATAACTTATTATGGATGTTGGTGCCTAGGCTGATTTACATCACTAAAATTATCCTGAATCTCTGCTTGTTTTTTGCAAAAGAGTACAAAGTTTTAGTTTGAAAATTTTGAGCTAACACCATTAAAAAAATAGCTAATGAACGCCTCTTCAGAAGGCATCACATCCAGTGTTCAAGTTTTGGAAGTATATCTGATTTTTAGCACAAATATATACCCATCAATCATCTAGGACCAACTACTTCATCACTTTTACTCATACAAGGACCATTTAAAACACAAGCGGGTCAAAAACCATCAAATTTTCATTCTATCTTAGAAAATAATCCCCAGCTGAAATCTAAATGAAAAGTTTCAACCAATGAAAAAATCTTCTGGCAACTAACCCACCTTTCTCTGTATACATCAAAAGCCTTGGAGCAAAAAAATAAATAGCTAAGTGAAAATTACATCCCAAATATTTGATTCACCTTGTCTTCTATCACTGAAAATTATTTAAGGAAAAACAAACACAACTTCGGTAATACCAGCATTCAGTTAAGTTTACTTAGGAGTTGAGATTAAAATATTAAACTTTGTTTATGTACTCAAATTTGCTTGCATGCAACTTTACTACTTTAGAGAAAAAGAAAGTGACTAGAAAGTAATGTGCAAATGACTACACAAGAACCATACCCAGTTCAAGGAGACGCAAATGTAAACAACACAAGATCCTCAATTCCAAAGAACACGATGCCAAATCCAAGATTCTCAAAACTAAATAATAATAATAATAATAATAATAATAATAATAATAATAATGAGGAAACAATTGATACCTTACTGGTGACGATAACCAAATTTGTCGATTAGGGGTCTGTTTATTCAACACATAGGTGCCCAAAGCCCCAAGTTTTAGTGTCAATACCTCATTCTACCAAATGCAAGCAATGTGTTAACCTCCAATCCAAAACAAAGTAACCTCCAAACTGACCAAAGACGTTTTAACCTTACCCCGTAGTCTACATCGAAACCATCAATTTGAACAATATCACCATATTCCTGCCACACGCCCAAAGCTAAATTTAGCAAAAGAAATAAAAAAGTTAACTCAAACGGGTAAAAAAAAGGTTGCTTACCTCCAATTTTTCCTGGAGGTCATGGATCGTCGAATTAGCTATTCTATGAAATTCATCCTCCTGCAGAACCGAACTGTATCCACATTAATCATTAGAAAAAATCAAACCTAAACCTTTTCTGAGTAAATATTTAACGGATAATTATAAAGATGGATACTTACCGGTAATCAATGGCGGCGGGTCCCTGAGAATCATGGGGGAGATTAAGAGGGTCGGAGCAGGAGCTTCGAGATGAAGCGAAGGACCAAGGAGAGTGGTTAGGTCCGAAGACCTTAGAGAAGAAGAGCACGAGAGGTGCGGACAGGTGAGGAAGGCGGAGGTCTGAGAAGTTTAGAGATTCTTCTGAGAAGGGGTAACCTGGAAGCCATTGGAGATGAACTCTGCTAACCGGTAGCCCAAAAGTGGAAAGACGAGGCCGGGTTTAACCTTTTAAAAAGGGTCGCTGGCCGGATAAAAGAATGGGTTCCTGGGCCTTCTTGTAGTAGATGAATTGTGGGTCATACAATAATTTACATGGATCAAAAGTTTGAGCCCCCAATCAACTACATCAGCTCTTCCTTCTGGTTTTTGGGCTCAAATATTTCCCACCGTAGACTCTTCACTCTTATTTGCATTTGATATTAGATTTTTTTGTGGATTTACATTTTTTATTTTTATATTTTATCAAAATCAGATTAACTTAATTTGATCTTGAAAACGAGAAAATATTTACAATGCATAACATGATTTAATAAAATAGGTTAGATTTCCATGTTATATATGGATTTAAAGGTGTAGGTCTGTGTAGCAATGTCATTAAGATTTCACTACACAAAGTTAAGGTTACATCCCCTCTTTCTATCTACAACAGCATTAAAATCTCACTTATTGAAGAGTTGCATAAAAAATGATGATTCTAATGAACTGAATTATAGCAATTAATCTAATCTATATTATTTTTATTATAAAATCACGTATCAAAAATTAAGTATGTCTTTGTATTATACATAAAGTCTAACATTTGATCATACTCATTCAAGTTCATTGTAAACTTAATATCAAACAAGATGAAATTTGAATAAAAAAAATTCTCTGTTATGTTTTTTCTTATAGTGATATTAGGTTCTTACTTATTGCCCATTCATCACAATTTTATTATAATTAAAGCATTAATCAAGATACATTTGAATATTTGATTTATTAATTAGTATATGATGTTTACTTAAAATAGTAGATCAGTTAAAGAAAAAACACTACTCAAGATAACAATATTAAACTTGGCTTGATTGAAAATTTTTGAGATTAGAAAAAGAAAAGTAAAAAAGGTCACCTGTTTTCTAAGGAATCTTTGGAATAGAGATGGGAATTGAAAATCATTAAAATGGTCAACATTCCCATGGGAAAAGTATTCTTTGAAACATTTGTATTTATGGGATTTGAACAAGTCATACATTACTCGCTATGTATATTCCAAAGCAATGACTCAATGACCTCTAAACTATTTTGCATTCGTAAAGCCTGGGTTTGGTTATTTAGCAAGCAATGGCCTACAATTAAAGAGAAATTAAAAACAAAAAGTTCAAGTGAAGAGGAACCTTCCGGCTTCATTTCATTTCATTTCTATGGTCACCAATCAACCTTGTGCAATGAATGCTATTTGGCTATCCATAGACTCTGTCCCCCCTACAACAATAACTTCTCCCTTTCTTAATTAAATTAGTAATAAATATATGCAACAAATAAGAGCACGAAAAAGCATGGTGATAACCATTAACATAAAATCATTGGTACAAAGCAAGAAGCTAGGTACTAAACCACCAATCCTAGTAGTAGCTAGTGCACTACGCTAAACCCTAATTCCTAAAAGAATTCTCGAAGTTTATTGCACAAAAACTATTATTTGCATCGATCTTCGATCGTAGCCAAGTCATAAAAAAGGGAAGAAAACCAAAATTTAAAATAAAATAAAATAAAAAACTTAGACTTCGAACACGTTATTGTGATTTAAAAGATAGTAGGAATAATAGTGCAAAACTCATGAAAATATGATCTTCATTACTATTTCGAAATTCATGAATTTATTAAATAAGAAAATTTAAACATGTAAGTGCATTTTTGTGGTAATCTTCACATCCAATAGAAAAAGTAGAAACGTCATATGGAAAACATGAACCAGGTTTAAATCAAGGACGAGGGTGTGACTGCTTCCACGTCAGGAGTAGGAGGACGATGCTTGTTTTATGTTTGCTTATGAGTCTAAATCATAATAGTAAATAACCCTAATTATATCCAAGCGAAGGTACATAATTTTGTTTTATTTAATTATTGGTATTGGATTTTACCACTCAAATAAACTTGGTTGCCTCTGGACGTTGCAATTTCCTTGCTTATTTTGGTTGGGCAAAGAGAAGAGAGAGACAATTCCTTATAAGATGCCTACCTTTCAGGCGCGTAAAGGACAAAGAGCCGCTCTTTCCTTTCACCTCTCGTTTCTGAGTTCTGGCTGCCTCTTAAAACAAGCCCCAACTTCCCTAAACCCGTCACCTAAAAATTCACGTTACTAATTACTCTCACAATTACCTTTTCTTTTTTAAATAAAAGAACTTTTAAATAGCAAAAAATCAGGGCCGTTCATTTGGGTTATAAGATCACAGCCAAAGCTTAGGGTTAGCACTTACGCCGTTCATTCAAAGGGATTAAAAAATTAAACTAAAGTTACGTAGTTTACGAAGATAACAATAACAGGACCGGAACGTGTTAGTTTTTATTCTACTTTTTCTTGTTCAAGCAGCCTCCCTCGCCACACAACCAAAGGCCCTTGCTTTGAAACAATCTGGCTATAGAGAGGTAAGATTTTTTCCTTCTTTCTTTTCTTTCAACCTAAATAAAAACTGGGTCTTTCTTGTTTCATGCGCTTTGAGTGGTTTTCTTTCTTGGGTGTTTTATGAATGGTTAGTTTTCTATCTTCTTTGTTTCCTGCGGTGACGCTTTTTTTTTTTTTTATGGCTATTTGTTATTCTAAATCGCCTGCCTTATTATTATTATTTTTATTCAAGTTTGCTTAGAATGAAGGCTGAATTTCTTTTGACTAGTTTTTATTGGCATTTTCCTTTTGCATGTGGATGTAATTTATTGGGCTTGGATTAATGTTCCATATGAAATCTCAGTATCTCTTGTTGACCATTGGTTGTCTTTGATGTACAATCTGGTTGGTGGTCTTCTCTTTCATGGCTTGATTCTTATTTGTTCAGTATCTGAGATTTTGTTCTCGATCAATATTCAAAATTTGCCTAGATGCCTGATTTCCTGGAATGAATTTATTGAATGAAAGGAAAGTCTAATCTTGTTAGAGTAGTAAGAATACAATATGGAGTCTCATTAGATATTATTTACAACTTGCCCTCGTAATGAGGATTTAAAGTTTCCTTCTTCTCTCCATTTTTTTCTTAATCTTCCAATCCTTTTTGACAAAGATGTCTGCTATGTTAAATTAGTTGGTTTCACATATCCAAAGGACATTGAAATAAGAAACATTAGGCATTGCAGTCTGATTGTCTATCCTGTTTTTGCTTGTTAAAAATTTTCGGCTGCATTCTTTCAATGTAGAGATTATCCTGAAATTTTTAAATTTTCTTCATTACTCTGCCTACACTGTTCTCACTTCAGTATCTACTTGTAGATTATGTGATCCTTTTCTCTTTCTCTTTCATTATAGTCAGGCAGGTGTCTCTTATGCTCATTAGGGATTTGGTTTTCCTAGTTGGAAAGGATTCTTTTTCACTCTGGCCGCTGCAACGAAACTAAATTTTTCTCGCACCTCAAAGTGGGTGTGGGGGGACAACGAAGGGGTGATTCTGCTTTGTGTTTTAAGGAGATCGAGATCATCACATATCTGGAGATTGCTGCGTGTTTCAGAGGGTCTTTCGCTTGATTATGGCTAATGTCAGTGTTTGTTAGGTCCCCAGAAGTTTGATTGTAGCTTGTCATTTTTTATGGTAGCAGAATTAGGAGTTTTTCTCAGGATTTTGAACCTTAATGATTAGAGTAGTTTCGTGCTCATAGCTTTTTATGTAAACACAACAGTAGGTGTGTGTGGATGTAGCGTAAGTCTGTATCACCACAATGGTTAGGTTTTCATGCTTCAATGCTCACATCCAGAAACCAAAGGTAAGTCTAAGATTTGCTTCAGGTTTTTGACAGCTTACTTTAGTAAAATTTGGGTTATATACTGTGGTGTTTCCTGACTCAAGGATTCATTTGTCATCAGAAAACAGTCCAGTCATCTGTTGAAGCAATGCATAAGACTTTAGAAGATTCTTCAAGAGTTCAAGCCCCCAAGGATTTCAATAAAGCTACAGTCACGGACTCATTCTTGCCCATGGCAGAACCTATTGCTGAGATTCATGAAAGTGTCAAACCTATTATGAATTCTTCTTCTGTTTGCCATAGGTGGAAATCAGAGGAAATAAAACACGAAATTGATCTTGATACTGATACCAGGGTCCATCAGAAATGGCACCATCTTAAGAAGAGTCAGTCCCTAGGAAGTAGACTGTGCCTGGAAGGAAGGGTTCCTGGAAAAATTGATACAGACGATGAGACTGATCAAGGATTTTCTTCTGATTCCCATGACCATGGGTTGGTTGAAGCAGATGGCAGCAAACATACATTAGTGAGCCAAAAAGCTCTGTGCTCAGAATCTGCTCAAGTAAGTTCTAACCGTGTCAATAATGAACCGGTTTTCTCTATAGGAGACCCTCAGCATTCAGAAAAGGATGGCCATGATAATTCTGATTTACTTTTGTCTGGTGAGGGTGCGAATGGCTCTGGTGACCGTACACCTAATAATGCACCTGTGATTGTAAAATCATGTTCTATGCCAAACATTGTTGCATCTGTACTCACCTCTGGAGGACATTCTCCTTTTAAATATTTAACACGCCGTCCAAGATCTTCTGAGGATGTACATGTTCTCAACATGAGAAGGAAGGAGATTACAATTTATGAGGTTGATACAGTGGTGATGCAAGAACAAGGAAGAGATGATATCACAGATAAAAATCAGAAAAATAACTTTGAAAATTCTTACTATGATAGATATGATTCTTATAGTTATTCTGGTTCAGCAAAGGACTGGATAGTGCCAGTTTCAGATGAGGTAAACTCGGTGAAAATCCTGCAAGAAGATTTGCCAGTTTCAGATTGGAATGAATTGACTGGCAAGGATTTTAAGATTAAGCGAATTGAGGAATGGGTTAATGATCTTCGACACTGCAGCCCGTTGGAAGAAACATATGAATTATACCATCCCAATGATCATGTGAAGGAGGATCCTGTTGTCTCAAATGGTTCTACTGCTGCAAAGGCGGACGGTAAGGTGTCTCCTGGCATGGAAGCAGCAAAAAGATATATATCTTCGTTGAGTGCCTCAGCAACCACAGCTCAGCTGGCCAACCATGGTTTGGTTGTTATACCATTTCTCTGTGCATTTGTGAGCTTGAAGGTGCTTAATCTATCAGGAAATGCAATAGGTGGGTATCTTCAACTGCTACAATATTAGTTTTCTTCTGCATTTGTCTTCAAATCTAGACATGCTTTAAAGCTTATGATTTGAAGTTTATGGAAATGTTCTTTTGTCTGTATGCGTGCTTCAGCAAGGATCGCTGCTGGTGCTCTTCCTCGAGGTCTTCACATGTTGAATCTGTCAAAGAATAATATATCCACCATTGAGGGTTTACGTGAACTTACTCGACTTCGTGTGCTGGACCTGAGCTACAACAGGATATTTAGAATTGGTCATGGTATGTGACACACAACTGCAAGTGATTAGCTGTCCTATTTTCCTTGCTATACTCCTTACCTACCAGTACTTTAATCCTCTAATCTACTTTACCTCACATAATTCATTGTAGGTTTGGCTTCTTGTTCCTCTCTTAAGGAGTTATACTTGGCTGGAAACAAGATAAGTGAGGTAGAAGGTCTTCATCGCCTCTTAAAATTGACTGTGTTGGATCTGCGTTTCAACAAAATCTCTACTGCCAAATGTCTTGGCCAACTTGCAGCAAACTATAACTCTTTGCAAGCCATCAGCTTGGAAGGTAACCCAGCACAGAAGAACGTTGGAGATGAACATCTGAAGAAACATTTGCAAGGCCTTCTTCCACATTTAGTTTACTTTAATCGGCAGGCTATTAAAGTCAGCACATTGAAGGATGCTGCAGAACGTTCAGTTCGGCTAGGCATCAGTGCCCATCAATTTGATCGTGGACTTAGATCAGAGCACAAAGCTACAAGAAAGAGTAACCATGGCAGTGCTACCCATCGGCCATCCTCTTCATCAACTCATGGTCATAAAAGTCAAGCCACAGTTTCCCCAAGACAGTCCAGAGGCAGGCATGGTCGCCTGCCTCCTAGCAGAACAAAAGCAACAAACAATCATCGAAATCACTATTTCGACCTTAGTAACAAATTTCTGACTTTTAAATCGGAGCTTTCCATGCGAAGGACCCGAAGTGAGGGAACTCTGGGGCCTCTGTGAAATCAGTGTCCTGCTTTATGCCGTCTGGTTGTTATACTATTCAGTTTGGAGTTATGTTGCTTGTGGTTATTGTAATAATTTGTCACTCCAGATATTTGGTGTGACCAGGCAAACAGTTGGATTTGCAAAAATTGGACTTGTCAGGATTCTTCTGGTTTTAAGTTGCTTATTTTTGTCCACGAAGATGAGTGAGAAATGGGTTGTGTTGCGTCAGTCTTGGGATTTTTGTGTTTGAATTCATAAATTGTGCTTTTCTCATTGGGGAAACAAGGAGAGTAATGCAATGGAGAAAGACTGAGCTGAAGCCTGTTACACGTTTTTGGCCACTTTTCAATAGGAGGGCTCCAATGTAATGGAAACAATTTACATTTCAAGTACTGCGCTCTTGTCGAAGCAAAACATTAAAAAGGCGGTAGAATCCTATCTTTTACCGTATTTGCCATAAAGTGTGATGGCGAGCCTGCCTGCTGCAGTTCCTTACCATTGGTTGACAAGCAAAAGCCACTGCTGAATAAGCCAACATCTTACCCAACCTTATTGCTGGAGAAATAATCGTCAGTCATTGTGGGTGGCAGTGGTACTACTAGCGCATGGGGAAAACCGGTACGGTAACAGAGATCAAACTTTTGTTTTCCCATTGTCAGCACCTTTTAATTCAACTTATTTATGCACCATAAGTTGAGTAATATTACTTTGCTTAGATTGGAGATATAAATGAAATAAGTGATAACTAGGTCATTTATTAAATAGTTTCATAGAATAGGCTAAACAAATATATATATATATATATATATATATAAAAGATTAAAGCATAACCAATTGATTCTATAATTGCCGTTGTCATAACAAGGTCATGGTAATTGCGTTATTGGTTAGCCATGGCCTAAAAAGCAGATGTCTGGACGGTCACTTCCATAATAATACACTCGAGTTACTATGATGGCAAAACTATGTTGAAATATTTTATGCCCCAAACTGTGAGTCTAAAACTCCCGTACAGATTCAAGTGACATGACCCTAATGGCAAAAGCTTAGATACAAATCCAGTAACAAATATGTGCAGTTTTAAAGTACTAAAAATTTGGTATTCCTACGATATCAGGAACATGCTGTGAAAAGGCTTATAACAAGTAACAAAGAAATTCAACACTGCACACCATATCCACAGGCATTGTTGCATCAACATTAATTATCAAAGACGAGCAATTAACAGGAGGGTACACAGGTAAGAGAAAAACTAAGAGTCCTATCACTACCCATCTATACAAAGCATTCGAATCCATCACCACACAAGATTCTCAAGCTTCTTTGCCACCAATAAGTCTTCATATTTTGGATTGCCTTTCATCCCTTGCTGCAATATTTAGTGCAGAGGCATATGAGTAATCAATCATCCCTATCCAGTAAATCAAAACAACAATCTACACTTAATTTGCAAAAGAGTTCACTACAGAAGATCATATAAAGGGGTAAAGCAAAGCTTTAGATTTGAAAACTGCAAATACTGCATTAAAACCACTGACTAATACAGGTTTCACAATCAGAACCATGAGTGACTTCTCTGCTCTCATGAAAAAGTAATGAAAGAGGGGAAGGACAGGAAATAAACCATAAATGGGTCTCAAACAGCATCACCTGAATTAGTAGTCTCTTGTCATTGCCCAGACACTCGCTATGCATCTGCTAACAAGAAATGTGAACAAATGAGAGAGATGTAATTTTAATAGTAATACTTTATTGTTTAACTATAAGATTAACCCTCCTATAGATTAAAAACACATCAGATTATAGGCTGTCCATATTTCTGCACCTTTGAAAACAAATATAACACTAAACACCTCCATACATGCACCAGATCACGACCAATTGATGCTCCTATAGTGAGATAAAATCTTAACTTGGTTCTGAGTTCTAGAATCCTTTCTAAGAACCCTACATAGCTCAAGTTCATATACTTTAGTTAACGCCAGAAGCATGAAGAAGGCACAAGTTCAACCATACATTCACTTCAAGTAACTTATTTAGCACAAAGATCTGCTCCAAGTTGTGAGATAGACAAACTTTTGACAACTAATCTCTAAGTCCACAGGTCATTTCATCACGCCACAAGCTAGTATGTTTATTCTCAAGGTCTATATCTATGCATTTCTTGCCTGCTATTCTGCACCAGGCTAATC